AAAAAAAAATCATTAAACCAAAAGCATATTTAAATTGCCTCTATTTTTTGAAGTCTTTTTTTTCATCATCAAAAAAGAAAAGGAACGTGAATTAAGTTGATGCATATGTCCAGAAAACAGTACCACCCATCAAATAATCAACTACCATTTATAGTGTTCTTTTTTTCTGGCACTAATCAATTTTGAAAAGAAATTTTACACAATACATACAAATAATATATACATACATACAAAACTTTCTATGTATACAATTTAACTCACAGTTATGAGACACTAAGTTGGTTGCCTGATAACTAACCTGTGATTTGGAACGCCAACTCAATCTTTATTCATCTAATCACCACTATGATTCGACTAACCACTTATACCCAGAGAAAGAACGAGTAAATAGATAAAGAATTCACAGTATCACTTATCGCTCACTGCATTTTACCGATCAAAAATAAAAATGACACAAAAAGTTGATTTTTGTTGTCACTAAGAAATTAAAAAAAAAAAAAAGAAAAATAATGATACAAAAAAACCAAAAAAAAAATTTTTTTTAGTATGAGCAATCAACTAATAAACATGAAGAAAATAAGAAAAATCTGTCAGCTTTTCAAAATGCTACAAATCAGTTTTATTGGTTTGATTTACTGGAAGACGATAAAACAAAAAGACAACTATTGTACGTCTCTTCCAGTAAACATCCCTCCCAACTTTCACATCTCATTACTAATTTTTGTTTTTGTTAACTTTCCTAAAGTATTACTCAAACTAAAACTGCAGATAAAAAAACTAGATACTCACAGAAATGTGCCAAGACATATTGACACGCACAAAAAAACACCTACAGAATCTTATTAACACAAAATCTTCTCTTCTCTTATTGTTTCCTCTTTGATATATATACAAAGAAATGACCATTAAAAAACAATCAAGTAACGAATAATTATTACCTAAAATAACAGTTCTTCTTTTCTTTCTCTCAAAATTCTCCTACTCAACTGCTTAACATCTTCTACACTTACACTTATCCACACTACAAACTGTATGAGACCAAGCAGATAACGGTGGCAGTCACTCAGATGGCAGCAATAAAAGTTTGCAAAAAGAAGAAAAAAAAGAAAAATGAGAAAAAGAAAAGGGAAGGAAAACGATTGAGTCGTAAGCAAAAGAACAGTGAGAAAAATGAGTAAATGAATAAAACAAGAAGCTAAATAAACAACTGTAGCGTTAGATTTTACTTCATATAAGCGATTATGCATTTTACAACGGTAATATGCTATTAGACATACTTTTGCCTACGAGAAAATTATAAAGCACTACGTTTTTTCCCCCCGATTTCAATCTTTTTTCTTTGCTTGCTTTTAACAATGACTTTTTTCATCGGTAATCTCAGCTGTATCAAACGAAAAGAAGAAGCATTAATAACTTTTTAGTAGCTAATAAAAAGTTAACTGTTAAATCTTTATGATGCAATTTCCAAAAGTTAAAGAACAGTTTCTAAAAGGTTTCACTTCTAACCTGAGCACACATTAAGTGAAGGTAGAAGTTCATTGCGATGATGGCAATATGGTGGGCAGATAGCCAGATAAAGAAACAAAGTTAGGGTTGAATATGTGATTAAACGGGTAAATTGATAAGCAAATAAATATATAGACATATAGTCAGATAAACAGTTGGGCAGATAAATAGACAGATAGATGAACAACAAAATAAAGAAACAGGCAAGTGAATAGGCAGCTAGATAGATGGAGAAACTAAAGACGGATAAATAAACAGATAAACAGAGTTAGACAGATAAACAGGTAGATGAAGAGGAAGAAAAGACAGATAGACAGGTAAGCAGGCAGATAGACAGATCAACAGATGACTGGTTAGAGGAAGTAAACTTTATAACAGTGATGGTTTCAGCGGTTTTGGCCTGAAAACTCTCATAGTACCGATAAAAGAGGAACAACCAAAAGTCCAGATGGAGCTCAATGAGAACAACGTGGACACCACTGCCACCATCACCAAGAACGACTTCATCAACGACAGCAATAGCAACAGCGGCGAC